GAGGAGACGGTGAGGTTGTTCCGACAGCCTGGGGGGGCAGATGGGGGTCAGCAGGGGACGCTGTGGGGAGCAGGGTGGGGCCCTGGCTGGGGAGCCCCCGGTGACCCCAGTGCTGGCAGGGGGGTCTGGGGGGTCTGGCCTCACCTCCTGTCACCTCCAGCTGGATGGGGGGCTCGGCCCCAGACTCCCCGTGGCACGTGAAGGTCCCTGAGTCGCTCATGACCAGGTCCCGGAGCAGCAGGGCCCCCAGGCCGGAGGGGTGGGGATCCAGGCGCCCCTTGAACTGGTCCAGGGGGGGCTCCGGCCCGGGGGGCAGACGGGCGATTTCGAGCTGGTCTCCGGGGTCGCCGGCGCATTTGGGGTATCGGGGGGACCAGACCCAGCGCAGCCGGGGGCCCCGGGCCCCACAGGGCAGCAGGATCTGACCCCTGGCCCCCCGCACCTCCAGCCGTGGGGGGGAACCTGGGAGCGGGAGAGTGTTAGCTGTGCCCCTCACTCCCGACCCGCAGGCCCGGTAACCCAGCCCTGCCCCCACCCAGCTCTGCCGGTGCCCCTCACTCCCGACCCGCAGCCCCCTAGTAGCCCAGTCCTGCCCTCCCCAGCTCTGCCAGTGCCCCTCACTCCTGACCCGCAGCCTCACTAGTCCCCCCCTTCTCCCAGGTCTCCCGGTGCCCCTCACTCCCGACCCGCAGCCCCTGCTACCCCAGCCCTGCCCCCCCCACGAGCTCTGCCGGTGCCCCTCACCCCACAGCAGGCCGGGCGCCAGCAGGGCCAGCAGGACCCAGACGGCCGAGCCCATCGGTTCAAGGCGTCTCCCCGCTAGGGTCCGCGTCTCACTCCAGGGTAGGAACCAATGGGGGGACGGATGGGGGGAGCCGTCATTGTTGGCGCCTCCGGGGCTGAGTCACAGGCCGGGGCCCTTATCATGCCAGCCCAGACTTCCCCCGGCCCCAGTCTGCCGGGAGCTGAACCAGCCGCTGCCAGCTGCCTTTGCCACACAGCGTTCACTCTGAAACCTAACGACGGCTGCTCCACTGCTGTTTGTGCCTGTGAACCCCACCACAGCAGCCACCGCTGGCCTCCCACTGAGCTGCCCCCCAGGGGCTGAAATGCCCCCCACTGCCCCAGCCGCTCCTGCCCTGTTGATGAAGGGCAGGGACTCATGGGGCAGAGAGTTCTGACAGCTGCCCCTGGGAATCCGTCCTTGTGTGTGTGTGTGTGACGGTGCCTGTGGGAGCCAGCCAAGGTCACTCAATCAGGGTGAACTGCAAACAAAACGGGGCAGACAAACCCCAAACGCTGGTGGATCTTCCAATACTTAGATTTACCAACCAGCCCAAAACAGCTTCTATAGCACCTCACTGGTTACTCAAAAGTCCAAACAACGCAGTTCCCTTAAAGTGCCCAGCCTCAGGCCTCCGTCCAGCCACACACGTCAGATATGATGATGATTACTGAAAATCTTACTTCATCATATAAAAGAAAAGGTTCTTCCAATCCCAAAGGATCAGCCACATACCCAGGTCCAACCATAACTTAGATCTTACCCAAAATACACGCTATAGCCAATTCTTATGAACTAAACTAAAATTTATTAAAAAGGAAAAGAGAGAGAGTGTGTTGGTTAAAAGATCAATATACAGACAGACTTGAATTCAATTCTTGAGGTTCAGACACAGCAGAGATGAGCTTGTAGTTGCCAAAAGTCCTTTTAGGAATAATCCAGAGGTTATAGTCCAATGTCCATATTCAGGGTGGCTCCAGTCAGTGACTGGGGATCTCAATCCTTATGGCTCAGGGTTTCCCCCTCTTGAAACCCAAAGCAGATCTGAGATGAAGTAGGATCATGTCCCAGGGGTTTTTATATATTTCCAGCAGCCTTTCGGCCTGAGAAAACACTAGGCTTAACTCTCCTTCTCCCAAACATCCTGGCAATTAGCACAGGGTCATTTATCCATTAAACAGTTCAGATCCAGGTTACCACAACCTTGAAAGAGACAGAGACAATAATACTATTTCACTCAAGTATTATCATAAATGTTAATCTTCCTTTTTGATCTTTGAATTAAAGCTCTAGCAATAGACAAGACTTGTTTGCTGACATCCCAAGACCTGAGCAAACATCTCCCCTTCTATCTCTAACAATGCCGGCTGCATTTCAGAGCTCTAGTCATTTACAGATCTTCCTAACCAGTTTCTACAGTTCACCGTGGGTCAGGTCAGTCTGGGAGTTAATTAACTACTTCTGGCCCTGTCACCTTTCAATGAGATATTAAACTGATAAGGACAGATAATAGATAATGTTTTCACGTACCAGCTCATAGAGAGCCGAGAAACGTATGACACTCATAACGTCACAGTGTGGCAGGGAGTTCCCCAGGTGAACAAGCCCCCCGCCTGGCTCAGGAGATCAGCGCAGAGCTCGTATTAATTGGAGAGGAGACGTCAGCAAGGTTCTAATTACGGGCTGCGGCTAGTGGCAGTGAGTTCCCCAGGTTAACGACCGGTCACAGGAGAGCCCCCCCATCCTGGTTTGATCAGAGCCTGGTGCTCAGGGGACTACAGGTTAATTAACACTTGGTGTGTAGGAGAGAGTCCCGCAGGCTAACGAGGGGCGTAAGTGGGTGACCCCTAGCCAAGGGGGCTCAGAACCCATAGGGGAGAAGAGGCCCCATGGGACACACTGCGGCCGCCCGCCCGCCCTGGGAGACAATCTGGCCCCACATCCAGTAGCTGGGAGTTCCCCAGGCCCCCGCAGGGCCGCTTTGAAGCGGCTGCCAGCATGAACGTTAGGCACCCACCTCGCCCCATCTCTGCCCACACCGGGGCGCCAGAGCCGCCACCCTGGCAGGCCTGGGAACGAGGGGCTGCCCCCTGCTGGAGGAAAGTGGAGCCACTGTGCGTCGGGGCCCCCTGGGGGCCGAGCTGTGGATCCAGGCATGGGGGGCTGCCCCCCAGAGCTGGCTGCATC